CCTCCCCCCCGTTGCCATCCCTCCTCCCCACGGCACCACTGTCACCCCTTGGAGGTGACACTGCGTTCCCAGCCCTGCTGCCGCCTCCCCACAGCCTCCGTGCCATCATGTCCCCAACGTCCTGGAGGCCTCATGTTGTCACATCCCCCGGGGCCATTGCGTCCCCAGGATCATCGCATCCCCCACATCCCAGAGCCCCTATGCTGTTGTGTCACCAACACCATCGTGTCCCCAGTGCCACCGTGTCCCCCATGTCCTGCAGCCCCTGGGCCATCACATCCCCTGCATCCCGGCACCCCCAGGCCATCGTGTCCTCTACACCCTGCAGCCCCCGTGCCATCGCGTCCCCAGCGCCATCACGTCCCCCACATCCCAGAATCCCTGTGCCATCGCATCCCCAGTGCCACTGCGTCCCCTGCATCCCGGAGCCCTCGTGCCGTCATGTCCCCAGTGCCGTTGCGTCCCCCGTGTCCCACAGCCCCATGTTGTGATGTCCCCAGTGCCACCTCGTCCCCCATGTCCTGCAGCCCCCGTGCTGTCGTGTGCCCTGGAGCCCCAGTGCCACCACATCCGCAGTGCCACCGCGTCCCCAGTGCCACCACGTTCCCGCATCCCGTACGCTGCTGGTCCAGGTGGAGGCGGCGTAGGCGATGGCCTCCTGCTTGTGGAGCCGGTAGGTGTCATGGAGGCGGCGCCGGTAGCACCCGGCCGCCCCGTCCTCGTTGGCGAAGCTGCGCACGGTGGCCATGGCCTGGAAGGTCTCCAGGGCCACCTCGTTGGCCCGGGCCAGCGACTCCTGCACCCGCCGGGCCAGCCACAGTGGGGTGAGCGTGGGTGCTGGGACAGGGTGCGCGGAGGGGACAGCGGGTACATGCAGGGGACGGGGGGACAGGGTGCATGGAGAGGACATCGGGTGCACGGAAGGGATGAGGGCACAGCGGGTGCATGGAGGGGACGGGGCAAGAGGTGCGTGGAGGGGACAGTGGGTGCACAGGGAGGGGACCATGGGTTCATGGAGGGGATGGGGAGATGGGGTGCACGGAGGGGACAGCAGGTGCATGGGGAGGACAAGGGGATGGGGTGCACGGAGGAGACATTGGGTGCATGGTGGGGACAAGGGGACGGGGTGCACGGAGGGGACATCGGGTGCACAGAGGGGACAAGGGGATGGGGTGCACGGAGGGGACACTGGGTGCACGGAGGGGATGGGGAGATGGGGTGCATGGAGGGGACAAAGGGATGGGGTACATGGAGGGGACATTTGGTGCACGGAGAGGACAAGGGGACAGGGTGTATGGAGGGGACATCGAGTGGATGGAGGGGACAAGGGGACAGGGTGCATGGAGGGGACGGGGAGATGGGTTGCATGGAGGGGACATCAGGTGCATGGAGGTGACCGCAGGGACACGAAGGGGACCGCAGGGACACGAAAGGGGCGGGGAGCGGACGGACAGGGTGCATAGAGGGGCCAGCGGCCACCCGGGACCCCCGGTACCTGG